GAGAACCGGAAGTGTGAGAGGATCATAGGTCGTGTGGCCTCATTCGATTATGAAAGTCAAGGGTTTTTGATCCTACATGGGAGGGTCTAGGTTCCTTACTAGGGAGGGGTACGCCAGGTTCTGATGGATGAGGCCCACAAGTCGAGGTTCTCCATCCATCACGGGGCAACAAAGATGTATCGGGATCTTCATCTTGGTTACTGGTGGCCCTGCATGAAGCGGGATATAGCCTAGTATGTTGAGAGCTGCCTGACCTGCAGTAAGGTCAAGGCCGAGCAGCGGAGAGCTTATGGAAAGACGCAGCCGTTCGATATCCCTGTGTAGAAATAAGAGGATATTACTATGGATTTCATCACGAAGCTTCCCAAGACCGCACGAGGAGTGGATTCAATTTGGGTCATTATGGATTGATTGACCAAGAGTGACCATTTCATTCCGATCTAGGAGAGCATTTCAGATGAGAAGTTGGATGACATTTACATCAAGGAGGTAGTAGCACGGCACAAGGTACCAGTTTCCGTGATTTCTGATCGTGATGTACGGTTCACTTCTAGATTCTGGAAGAAATTTCATGATGAGTTGGGTACTCGTCTGCACTTTAGCACGACATTTCACCTGTAGACGGATGGACAGAGCGAGCGGACCATCCAGACTTTGAAGGATATGTTGCGGGCGTCCGTTCTAGACTTCGGTGGTAGCTGGGATACCTACCTCCCTTTGGTAGAGTTTTCCTACAATAATAGCTACCACGCCAATATCGATCGACCTCCTTTTGAGATGCTTTACGGGAGGAAGTGCAGGACCCCAATATATTGGGGTGAGGTCGGTTAGAGAGTCATGGGGAGTACTGAGGTTGTACACCAGACAACAGAGAAGATCCAACAAGTCCGGAGTAGACTCCAGATGGCCCAGAGTCGGCAGAAGAGTTACGATGATAGACGTCAATCGAACTTGGAGTTCCAAGTCAGGGATATGGTCCTTCTAAAGGTGTCACCTTGGAAGGGTGTTATCCATTTTAGAAAGTGGGGAAATTTGGGCCTTATGTATATCAAACACTTCAGAGTGGTAGCCCGGGTGTATAAGGTAGCATATCGGTTGGTCCTTGCGGAGGAGCATAGACAAATCCACAACACTTTTCATGTCTCACAACTGTGGAAGTGCTTGGTAGATGACTTCACAGTTGTACCTCTAGAGGATATTCAGGTGGACGATAGCCTAAACTACATTGAGAGGCCCGTAGCCATTCTAGACAGGAAGACGAAGGCTCTAAGAAATAAGGAAGTGGAGCTGGTGAAGGTGCAGTGGCAGCACGACAAGGGCTCAAAATGAACGTGGGAGTCAGAGGACGAGATGAGGGAGCATTACCCTGAGTTATTCCCCATAGTAGCAGCAGCAGACTTCGAGGACGAAGTCTAATTCAAGTGTGGCCGATTTGTAACATCTGGGATTTATAAGGTATTATTTATATCTATATAAGGTTAATGGATTGAATTGGTTTGGGCTTGGACCATTGGGTCCTTGTGATTGGGCTGAGAAGTGTCGTATGTGGGGCGTACTATGCCATGTACGCTCAACATACTCATGAGATGAAGGCGCAGATGCCATACACGTACGCCCAACGTACCAAAGGGTACGTGCAGTGTATACATGCAGCCTCTAAAACCCTAAAATGTAGGTTTTTCACCCTATTTAAACAACTTATAGTATTCAAAGCCCTTACCCTCTCATCCTCTCTTGACCACTCAGTGCCTAACTTGAATCGTAACCCTCTTGTTTTTATTTTGGAGCTTACTTTGAGTTTTTGGTGTAACTTTGGTGATTTTGAAGAAGAAGGAGTTTGAAGAAGGAGCAAGGACTTGAAGAAAGCTTATAGATCCATGAGATTAGCACCATTTCTGGCTCATTTGAGGTATCAAGCTTCAAGGTTGACCATTACATGCTTAGTTATAGTGTTGGGTGTTTTATGGGTTATTTTGACTCTATTGTTGAGGTTTCTTGTATCTTAATAGTTCCAGACCGTAAGAGTTGTCCTTTTGAGCTCTTGGAAGCATTTAGAGTTATAAAAATCACACCTTAATGGTTATGCGACAACCATGCAAGTGTTTGATGGTCACAAAGTTAGTTTAAGGACTTAGTTCATGTTTTAACCCTCTTCTATGCATGCAAAGACATAAAGTTTGTAACTTTATGGATTAGGACATCTTAAAGGACATGGATATATGTTTTGGACATTAAGACTTAATGAATTAAGTCACAAATGGAGTCCTAAGGAAGCTGACCAGTACGCTAGGTGTACACCCTGGTACGCTGCGCGTACTGGGTCAACTTTCCGCTTTTGGTCAAGGCGAGCGTACGCTGGGCATACGTGCCAGGTACGTTGTGCGTACACATGCATGGTAGCGTATATGGATTTTTGGGCCTGGATTGTTGGGTCTCATGGCCCTCTGTGGAGTAAAGTCTCTCGGCCTAGAACTGAGATTTAAAGGATTGGGCCTTTTGGGCCATAATGGGCCATTCAGATTATTTATTTCGGGCTAAGGATTTATTGGGCTTTCGATAAGGCTCATTTGAGGAGTTGGTTCCAATTCAGAAAATTGGGCCATTGGTGGGCCACTTGTGGGTTTAAGAAGACTATTTAGATTTGGGGCCTTTCATGTAATGGTGTTGGGCCCAAGGCATTGGCCAAATTAGATTGGGGGTAAATTGGTTATTTTACCCTAAGAAGGATTATTAGTTTTTGATTAAGTGTTACTGTGGTAATGAGAGCTCGGGGAGTCGTCGGAGCTACCGCTAGAGATTTATTACCGTGAGATTCTTTCTTTAGCCTTACGAGGGGAGTTACCTTCCTGTATGAGTAGGTAGAAGGTACTAATTTCGGCCCACCTGTAGTTGTTTATGGTAGAGACGATTGTCTTTGTGATAATTGTCTGGTATGTCTTTACCTGTTATGATTTATGTACTTATTGCTATGTTATTATGTGGTAGTGGTAGGGGTGAAATAGTCCCCATTACCGGTTGAAATAAACTGGAAGGTAGGTTAGGCACCCAGATATTCCTAGCAGGGTAGGTCGAGCATCCATATATGCTTGACAAGGTAGGTTGGGCACCCAAATATGCCTGACAGGGTAGGCCGGGCACCCAAATATGCCTGGAAATGTATGATTATGTGGTATGATGGCGAAACTCACTAAGCTTTGTGCTTACACTTTCCACTTTTGGTTTCAGATACCTTATCTGCGAAGGGGAAGGAGTCAGCATGATTGCAGCGCATCACACCATTATTTCACACACGAGATTCTTGGGAGATATACTTTGATGATGTTTTATTGTGACATGTTTTGATTATTGACATTTGGTTTTGTTATGGGATGAGACGATGATGTTTTTAATACTGATGGTTTCTTATTTACTTATTTAAAAATGAAATTTTTGGTCTTAATTTTTCGGATGTTACAATACATAATCGGTATTCCCAGACAGTTGGTCGAACACAAACTGAACGAAATACCACGAAGCAAGCCAATTCAACATAAAAATAAGGGGCAATCGAAGACAGGAATAAAGCAATAAACGACGAAGCCGATAAATTTGTGAAAGCAGGCGTAGTACGGGAATCACTTTTCCCATCCTGGATAGCGAACCTGACCTTAGTAAAAAAAGGAGATGGATAATGGTGAATGTGCATAGACTTCACGAACCTAAAAAAATAATGCTCAAAAGACTACTACCCGTTACCGTCTGTAACACTTGTAGATTCAGACTACTCAATTAGAGCTAATAATCGTTAAGAATGTTTTTTTTTTATAGAAAACTATTTAGGATAAATAATCTTAACTAAAGTTATAGTATATCTCACAAGGATTTTGTACATATAAAGAACGTTGAAATCCGACTTCATATGAAGACGTTATGATTTTTTGAAATTTCACGATTAAACCAACACGATTCTATGTATCGTAAAAAGTGAGATTTTGATTAAAAAAAAAATAGCCTTAGTGATCTAAATGAAAATCATAGTATTTGTTAAACCGAGAGTGTGCATATAGAAAACATCTAAATCTGACTTCAGTAGAGGAAATTATGATTTTTCTAAGATTCAATGTAGTAGTATACAGCTCAAAAATAGAATTTTAGATTGGTCGATTTTTAGTAGAAACAATCTAACCGAGAATTGAAGATCTCGTTGATACGAGTTAAACGATAAAAAGACAGTAAAAAACGGACGTCGGATGACAAAGTAATGAATTTTTAACGGATTTTAACTGTCTAAGTGGCTGTTTGGCAAGATCTGAATTTTTAACATGTTGTTTGGTTTGAACCTTTGAATTTTGGTGTTGAATGATAAAAATGACAATTTTACCCTTTTGTATCATTTCTTTCAATTACAACATCATATCTTTGAAAAAAAATCCATGGAAGTAGGATGCTAAATATTACACCCAATATTACAAAAAAATACAATGAAAACTAAACAACCTAATATTTCATTATAATTACTAGCCAATAGTTTCCAATCATTCCAATCGACTGTGTCATCTTCGCTATCCAGGTATCAAACCTGACTTCCCAATCTCAATATCGAGCCATTCGCTATCAACATGAACAAAACTAGAATTGAAATTCACTGAATCAACAAATAAGAATTCAATTTTGAGTTTTTATGTTTGACTCCGATGAACACAATTGACTCAATTACGTTCGACTCCAATCAAACAAGTATGTTCAATCAAGTAAAATCATTCGTTGTATGTTCAAATGAACACATATAGACCACATCAGATCAAAATTGAAATATAACCTAACAAGTAGCAATCACTTTGATGAACAAGGGCAACAACACAAGGGGTAGGATCGACAAAATCAAGCCAAAAATATTGATTGAGAGAGCGACACAAAATGCTTACTTTCACCATCGTGCTTGAATGTTGTTTAGGATTGGTATTGAAGCAGAATAATCGAGTTTTAGGGGAAAAATAACCTTACCAAAAGTTGAGTTGTCTATGAGGGACCTAGAAGGCTTCGACGATGACGGCACTGACGAAAGATCCTGCCGGCTAGTTCCGAAGATGGAGTGGGTGAGGGAACGTCGTGTGTATTGAAAGAGAAGAGGGAAAGTGGGGTTGAAATATCAAGGGAAAACCCGAAGATGATGCCGGAGGCGATGCAGCTGGAGCACGAGACGAAGGCGCCACAGGCGAATCCGACAGCGGCGGTAGGAGAGGGGATCAGAGTTGTAGTAGTGTGGAGTGGAGGAGAGGCATCGTTGATGGTTGGGAGGGGAAAAAGAGGTTGCGTCGTTGTGGGCAAAATAGGAAACACGCGTGCCCTTATTTTTTCAGATGCAATCACATGTCTGAGAAATTAAGAGGTGTTTTTTTAATTTAAGTGGCATAAAATAAGATGCTATCAAACACCCTACATCTGAATTTTTAAGAGGTTACCTCTTAAATTTTCAATTAAGAGATAAACAAACAGCCCCTAAGCCTGTTAAAAAATAAAGTTAAAATTAGCTAGTCAGAGCTTAAACAAAAGTCGTGGATCTCGTCTATAGCTACACGTGGATGTAAATAACATCAAAAACAGAGCTCGTATGCGAAAGTTGTGGATTTTACAAAATAATTAATTTTCAGATTAACAAGAGTGCGACACGTGTTGCGATTTGGCACACCTCTTTCTCCCCACGACTTGCCACCAGATGACGACACGTGGCCCCAATACACCCAACATAAGTTGGGACACCCAGCGTACCCAGTACTCCCATCCTAATTTGAGTGCGCCTAACGTATTGGGCTTCCTGGCAGCTTATAAATAGAATGCGATTTTCACTCTTTTATTTACACCTTTTCATCCAATGTCTTCCAAAAACCTCCCAAGGTCCCTTGGCCTTTCTCTAGCACTTTCTAAGTGTTAGTAGCGAATCTCCGAAGAGTCAAAAATCTACGAGAAATAGAGCTTTTGGGTTAGAATTTATGCCCGCGTAAAGTCCGGTTTTTCGCTAAACCACTTGTAAGTTAGGTTATACTTACCCTGCTTTAAGTATAACTTATGTTTAAGTTCATTATCATTATTATGAACCTATAAACAATATTTATCAGCGATTCCAAGTTGTTATACTGATTATTCTACTTACGGGGATGATGACAAGGCTAAATTTAGTGAGGTGTTTAAAGCAGACCTTCCAAACAGTATACTCTATATACCAAACAGACCTTACCCCTGATATGATCTTACATGGTTGTCCCTTATCAGCTATAGCTCAGTAGACTTCGAATTAGTAAAGAATCTAGACTAATAATTAGTCACAAGAAATATTAGACTAAGACTTATTGATAATGATACTAGGTTACGTCAAAGGAAAAAAAGACACTTGCTAGAAGCGAAGCGTTGTCCGAGTTTCGTGTCATCACTTTATCAAGTTAGTTAATAGTTACTTTCATCTTATACATAGATATGATGTATCTAATTAAATAACTGCTTTATATGCTTACGTGCAAAGATGCTATGTGTTAGATGAAATGTTATAAAGATAAGTTTCTATGATTTATACCGTATATGTATTTTTTATAAATATCATACATTCGGTAACAAATGGTAATGAAAGATACCATAGTATGATTAAAGATAGGGTGTCATAGTATGATAAAAAAAAAAGTAGGCAATGATAGAATGCCACGAATTTGGAATTTTTATTTTACCAACGATGTAGTCACTTAGCAAAGTATATGTGACAACTACCAGACTAACTGATGATAACCCTGTAGAACACTGGCATCTATGGATGTAGTGCATATTAGATAGAAACTTGCGGCTATGGATTTAGTGCCTATTAGATAGATAGTGGAAGCTATGAACTTAGTGCATATTAGATAAATATTGGCAGCTATGAACTTAGTGCCTATTAGATAAATATTGACAGCTAAAGACTTATTGCCTATAAGATAAACATCGACAACGATGGACTTTGTGCCTAAACACCGACATCGATGGACTGCGTGCCTAAATACTAGCAACGATGGACTTTGTGCCTATTCATTAGGACAAATCCTTAGGAATAAAAATCGAAAGAAACCTACTGACATGTATTGCATAGAAATCCCTATAACAGTACTGTGAGCAACGGTGATTAAGATGACCCTTAGGATAAATCCTTAGAGAAGAATAAAGAGTAAATCGGGGATGGGTACTTGGGTTAATTGTTTGATAATTAAACACATTAATTATATTATTGTGGGTTATATACTCACTAGGTTTTCCAACTTGACCCACTCAGTTTATTTGTATCACATGTATCAATGCGAAGATACATTACACTGAGAGATTAAGGGATATGTACATCATTAGTGTAAATTACTCTAATGTCTATTTATGCTAGTGTTTTGCGTCAGTTATGAAATCTCAAGTCTTGAAAAGATATCAATATCGAACATTTCTTAAAAAATGGCTAATGTTAATATTATCTCACAATGAAATAATATTTTTGTGATCAATTCCACAACAAAAGAAATACAATGTTTTAAAAATAAGCATAAATAAAACTTTTAAAATGACCGTAAAATTAGGGATGTCACAGTTGATATCAAATCATTAGTTTAAGAGAACTAGGAATTTGTAGGATTTTTAGACTTAAATTTAGAATGTTAAGCATTGTTTGTGAGATGAGTGTGTGTTATATTTAGGAAATATGCCTGAATAGACACGATCATTAGCTTATTTTTGGAAAGATATCTAAATTGCTTTTATGTGCTAAATGATTTATGGTATAGCTATAAGATGCGATATATGCTTTAGGATGCTATTTTTTGACCGAATCTATTGGAAATTTTATGTGTTCAAGTTTCTAAACGTATAATTATGGTATTAGAACTGTCATATAACTTTTCAGAGCAATAAAGAGGATTCTGTGTCTAAACCTTCCCTATCTTAATATTCTCGTCTCCGTATATTGAATGTCTGCTTCAATGTATAGAATGTCATGGTGAGGACATGAAGCGGATTAAGAAACGACAATGGAAACCAGCAGCCTGAACCTTGAGTCACAATCGAGCGTGAACCAAAAGTTATGCCAACAATTGGCCCTATCATAATGGAAGAAGTTCAGGCAATGATGTAAACCATGTTAGACTGGGCAAATGGAGGAAATAAGGAGGCTTACAATAGTGAATGATACTATCGGAAGATATCGATGATAAAACTTTTGGTGTAATTCCTAAATCGTCCCATCGTTTCCACCACCAACCGAGTTGAAGCATAATTGATGTTGAAGATACACATGGAGAGAGTCCTAGTAGAGTCTAAGGAAATTTTTATTCTGACACATTCATATGTGTTAAATCGTTTTGTGATTTTAGGAAATAAAAACTTGGGAACTGTTAGGCAATTCTTGGGGCGAGTATGAGTAGGTGTGAAAGGTAGTAGAGGCCTATACTACCGGAAGCACATGACTCACACTTGGATCAGGGAAAGTCACAAGGTTACTAAGGCATTAGTAGTTAAGTTTGTTTTGTTTGTTTCCGTCATTGCCATTGTTTGGTAATGAATATGAAGATGAATGTTATTCCAACCCTAGTGGTCATATCAAATTGAGTCTATCTTGAGAATAAGTCTGTGAAATAAGTTACTTGGTTTAAATAACCATGTTCGATGTAGTATCTGACTCAAGTTAGGAGTTTAAAGGAAAGGATAATCAAAGCAATCGACAGAAGTGTCGCAACCGTCGATAAATCTAAGTAGCATGTAGCTAGAATTACTACCTGCGGTAATGTGATTATATCACATTAGAACATGAAGGAAGGTGTCATCCATTATGGAGTTTGACTCAAGAGATCTAAGTTTAGCCATTGCATCATACGACGAAAGGAAATTAGATGCACAACCCATCAGTTTGTTACGGTAATCAAGGTAAAGACCTTATCTTAAGTTAAGTCTATTTAAGAAGGAGCATGAGTCTCCAATAAGAATACACTAATTCTTCAAAACATGTAGCTCGGTCTGCCAACTACACCTGTGTATACATCGAGTAGCATTACTCTGATACAAGCTACCTGCTTAGCCTAAGAATACACTTATTCTTCACAAGATGTAGCTTGGTCTGCCGACTACACTTGTGTATACATCGAGTATCATTACTCCGATACTGGCTACTTGCTTAGCCTAAGAATACACTTATTCTTCAAAACATGTAGCTTCATCCACCGACTACACTTATGTATACATCGAGTATCATTACTCTGATACAAGCTACCTGCTTAGCCTAGGAATACACTTATTCTTCACAACATGTAGCTCGGTCCGCCGACTACACTTGTGTATACATCGAGTATCAGTACTCCGATACAGACTACCTGTTTAGCCTAAGAGTACACTTATTCTTCAAAACATGTTGCCCGATCTTCTGAATACACTTGTGTATACATCAAGTATCATTACTCCAACACAGGATACCCGCTTAGCCTAAGAATACAATAAATCTTCACAACATGTAGCTAGGTCTGCCAACTACACTTGTGTATACATCGAGTATCATTACTCAGATACATGCTACCCGCTTACCCTAAGAATACAATTATTCTTGAAAACATGTAGCACGATCCACTGACTACACTTGTCTATACATCAAGTATCATTATTTCGACACAAATTACCCACTTAGCCAACGAACATACTTCTTGTTCATAAAACCTATAGCTTGCCCAATAGGTTACAAATATGACAAATATTAATCCAACATTCATCGGATGGAAAACTATATTTGTGGGATGCATAATCCAATTGATTCAGAATAAAGTTCGCAATTATCTAAATCCATTAAGAAATTAACGATTCCCAGAAGTAACAAACATCATCGACGACAATAACAACACACAACGACATTTCGCACCAAAAAAACCAATGTCCCAAAAAGACCAACCATAAAACAGTAATCGGTTTGGCACACAAGCAAAAGAACAAGTTCATGTTTACCTAAAAACCAACAAAAGAGAGCATAACTGATTCACATAACTAACACAATCAAGATTTAATAATGAGTTGGGCATGCAATAAACCGTTCTCCTGAAGATAAGTTTCGTAATTAGCCTTGGACAAGAGTTTTTTGATTTTCCAGCAAAGCAACCTTGGCCATAACGTCTCGGTGACGTATTTACAGATCGGCATACATCTCCCCGGCCTTAACCAACATGTCTTCACTTGCAAGCTTCATACCCTCTGCAACCCGCAAATTCACCTCCACATCCAAAAAACAATCTCGTAAGGTTAATAACCTGTCAAAAAACTTGAGATCCCGCCCAAGTATGGTAGAAATAATTTTTTCAGAACAGATTATAAAACGACATGCCTTTTCCAATTCTTCCTAAAAAAGTAGACAAGAAGGGCACCCATCTATAGGAACTAGGAAAATGGCATTAGTGAAACAAAATACTATATTAAAACCTAAAACATAGGTGTGAGCACATAAAGCATAGGCAAAGTATCTACGTACCAACCGGTTCAAGGGCAACGTGATCCAAAGATAAATGAGAAGCGCAATGAGGGCCTGCCTCGGAAATTTTATGAAAAAATTGCTCAAATTGATCGGGTGAAAGGATTTGCCTACGCTTCAAATCAGGAGAGCCAATTTCTAGGGGCAACACTCCTGCTAAGCTGGAGGAAACAACATAAGAAGAACCAATCACAGGATAAGAAATATTCAGAAGTTGATCAATAGAAAACACACTCGGCCCAAACCCTGGAAGTGTAACGCGAGACTCGGGTATCGAAATCATCGGGTCCACATCTTAATCCAGAATCATATAATCTACTACAATGGACTCAGGAGAAATGTCACCAACCAAATATGATGTCAGATGAAAGTAGCATTTACCCCCATCTACAACAATACATGAGCATAGAGAAAACACCCAAAGGCAATATTTATACCAGGAGATTACCCAAGACCAAGGAAAAAAGAAAGTATACCAAATCTAGCAAAAAGGTAAGACAAACTTGCATGACATACAGATAACACAGGCAGTTGACATCAAGCCTTCTAAAATGGGCTTATATAACACAAAGCAAGTACAACTTCCGACAGAAATGCGCTTTTCACACAAAAATGATAAAATAAAGGCACAAAAGCACGTAGATCAGCATACAAAGACACCAAATCATCACCAAGCGGAACACAACAAGGAACAAACGGTAGACACAAGCTATGCATATCCACCCAACAAAACTTACTTTTCCAGATACCACTGGAGCGAGACAAATTTGGGGAAAGGGACAATGATGACTGTTGAAAGAAAACCAATCTCCATACTTCTTCAAGCGGGCCCAATCATGAAAATAGGCCCATCCCAACACATAACAAATGGGCCTAGCTTAACATATCATAAATGGGCCTATCCTAACATATAATAAATGGGCCTAACCCAAAATACATATGTAAGAGTCACAAAGACAACTAACATCCTACATAGTATAGTGAGAAGACTCACATGTCTCACAAAATCGACTACACCATAAGTCAAAGCTACACTACCAGTGCTATAACATAGCTATCGAATCAAACAGGGTCCAACCTTAGACTATGCTCTAAAACCGGTACATGACCATAATTCAACTTAAGTCAAAGTGAACAGTCCAAAATTGACTTTAGAGGGTCGCTACGTCGTGGCTTAATAAAGACAAAATAGTCGCGCGATACCCCCAACCGCCACGTGATGGCGCCTAATCACCATATCGTGGGAACCAGGCCAAAACAACTTAAAGGGTTAAGCCATTTTCCATCGATCAAATGAGTTCCAAAGCTCATATCTGTTTTTTTCTCATCATCCTAATGGATAAAGTTTCCAACTTTATCTATTAAGACATTCACTAAGCCCAAATCTCAATCCTAAGGTCCAAAAGACAACTTAATGCATTTGATTTAACCAAAAAGCACTTAGTCCATGAAGTCATCAATCCAAAACTCCCAAAAGGACTTCAAGGACCGTAATGATCCCTAAAAATGCAAACTTTATGGACATGCATACCTTATGCATGCCCTCTCCCAAATTTAGGTAAAAAAAATGCAATCTAACCTAAATTTCATGCAAGGTTCCCAAATCACCACAATTCCTTAGATCTATGAGATATAATGCTCTTGGAAAATAGAGAAACCATAAAGTTTCAAACTTTATCTCTTCAACCCACACAAACCACATAAAAAGGACCATAATATGACATAAAACCTAGATCTATAGAGAAAAACATCAAACAATGGAAACTTGAGGACTTACAAAGAGTCCATTTGATACACATAAGTGAAGGGGAAGTTTTTTTGGTTGAATCAAGGCACTAACTCTTCTCCTTTTTCCTTCAAAACCACCAAGAACTTGCAAAATGAGCACAAAAGCTTCAAAAGGGTTAGGTTTGGACAAGGAGTCATTTGAAGGAGATGGAGGCTGAGGGTGTAGGAAACCCTAGCCTAAATAAGGCTTAAAGTCTGGAAATTAGGGTTTGACTAAAATGGTCGCCACGTCGTGTCCAACTTAATGCTACGTCGTGGCACCCATTTAAGATGTGCGGTTTCAAACCAATCCGCCATGCTGTGATGATACCATCACCACGTTGTGGCTAAACATGTTTTCAAGCATAAATAAAATTCATACCTTAGGATTCGAATATTACATTTACATATATAAAATCGAAAAAAAAAGAATTGCAAACACAATTTATGAGGTGTTTGAGAGTTCATTTTATTCTCAAGAGTGATTTTGAAAAAAAAAAAGATTTTTTGAAAAAAAAAACACTTGTCACTAACTTTTTAAAAGTTTCATATTTTGTTTTGCCAAAAAAGTCAATTAAATTTAATATAGTTGATATCTTGCATTTTTTTTCTAGATGAATAGCTAAAAATCTCCAAGATGATATTTAGGATCCCAATTTTTTAGAAGATAATGATTTCCTTATTCAAAAACACCATATATATATATATATATATATATATATATATATATATATATATATATATATATATATATATATGATTACACTGAAGTGGTTATTCTTACGATTTTAGATTGAATCTTATGGTTTACAGTGTTCTTCTTGGGCAATCTTCTTCTCCGGTTCTTTTTGCTAAGCTCTTACTTTACTATGTTCTCCTTATTATTCTTCAATTTCTTGCATTTACTATGTTCTTATTATTTGTTATTATCGTGTTCTTGTTAAGAGGTCATGAAAAAAATTAATCAATCTACTTTAAGCATATTAGTTTCATTCATTTAGTTACAGAAACAAAATTATACCCTTTATATCGATTTTTTAATGTGTTAACCTATATTTGTCAAGAGAAAGCCATAAAAGTTGTTTTAATACATGATGACAAACCTAGTGGAACATACCAAAAGCAGGATAAAGAAGTTTTTTTTTTTTTATTTTTATTTTTTTATTGTTACACTTCAACTTGCATGAACAAACACGTATCTGTTGTTCCAAGGTTTTCAATAACTCTTTTATACATATTATCATAATATTCGATCAAATTTTATAATTTTATATTATTGAATTTGTTTATATCAATATTTTAGTTTCAAAATCATCATTATACTATAAGACTTTACCGACGTGGTGTCACTTATGTTATTTGATCATGACACAAAGAAACTTCTGGAAAAAAAAACACACAATAGTTGCTTCTAAATTTTAATAAGGTTATCGATACTAACTTCATTTATATAAAACTAATTTTTTCTTTTTGTCTGTTTATTTTTATAACCTTTAATTTTTTCATTTTTAGGAGGGTAATATGAAGATTTATCCATTTGCTTTAAAATTACTTTTAAATAAAAAGTTGGCGTTCAAAATCCAAATTTCTCATTATAATTTGAAAAACAATGTTGATGGTTATGCAATCTCAAACTTCAATGTTGATAATAAAATCACGGTTGAATTGGAAAAAGAAAATTAACATCGAACATATAACATTCTTTTACGAAACATACTACAGACACTACACTTATTATATCCGTTTTTTATATTGTAGTTGATCAACTAATATAAATCTATTTACTACAAATATAGGCGCTGTAATCCGATTTGTTTAACGTTTTATCGGTGAAATTCAGATGTCAAGACACATTAAATTTAAAGATTTTAAATATAATATAACTAAATCTAATAATTTAAGTACTTTAAAATATTATTAACTTTTAGATTGACATATGAATTTATTGTGTATATTTAGGACGTGGTTTCGTTTACTGGTGATAACGTCATACTCGCTTCGAATCTTGATAAAAGTATTGCAACAAGTCCGCCAACTTAGTGGACATCCTTTAAAAACACAACTTGGAAGATGTTTATGATATTGATAATTTGGAAACAATGTCATCAACCAAACGATCATTAGCATCAATGACATACCGTACTTCTGGAGAAAGCAGGCCAAAACTGTTAACTCCAAAGAAAGAAAAATAATATATGATTTTCATGATTTTATATGAGTAGTTGAGTGATTTGAGTACGATTGATTTCATATTATGTTTACATATTATTTGGTTTTTAGGTTTGGTTTTTTATTACTTTGTTTCATAGTATTCGTTTTTCGGGTTAGAATTTTGATCATTTAAATACATTTTGAGTTTTATGAAATATTAAATTATTCATCTATTTTCCTTTTGGGTTT